ATACGTAGAGAGCAGTTAGGTTCAATAAACTACCTCAGGTAAGAGCCTGCAATAAGATGGGGTGGAATCCAGCCAGTGGAAGGCACCAAATCTAGATGACCAAATGATCCAAACCCCCATGGCAAAATATCAATTAACATGATTCCTTAAATAAAACTCTGCATCCATGTCAGGGAGCAAAGTACAGGGTATTACTAATTATCCAGGTATTTTCCACAGAGATATATGAACTGATTGTTCCTTTTGAAGACAGTGAAACTCATATCCATGCTTAGAATTTGTTAGAGTTTGCAAAACTCCAGATTTGGTCAGAAGATCCCCTTCCTTCGAGGAACTACAGGCAGCTTTGAGAGTTAGATGCCAAGAAGAAGTAAAACACAATGCACCTTTGGGAGAGGGTAGGGAATGGCTAAGCTATTCATACGAACAGTAGAAGAGATTAAAGATGAAAGAAAATATTTAGCCACCTTTTGGGAACAGCTGATGTGAAAATATTTAACCAGCAGTGCTTTTGTGCACAACCACAGTGTTCTAACAGAGCTTAAATAAGCAGGAACAATATAATGCAGCTGGCCAGGGTGTGAATACTCTAAGAGGAGAATTAAAAGCTTTTCTTCCCCAAATTTAAGCCTCAGATGTTAGCTAATCATGTTCTCTAATTTTAGCAACAGAAATGGAAAATGTAAAAAAAAAAAAAAAAAAAAAAAACTTCTATTAAGAGCAGAGATGGCAAATTCTATCACTGGGTCTGAACGAGGAGGTAAAGAGTCACCTGCCCTCTTCCATAAACCAGCCTTAGGAGCATTGAGAAGAGCTGTCTTTAAATGCATACTTAATCTGGAATCCCTTTTGATCATTTATTTGATTGCCACCGTAAAGGTAAAGGCCACTCTGGCTATTTAATCATCCATTAGAAATGGGAGTGTTAAAGAGTGCTCTGTTACAAAGGGACCAAGGCATGGAGCAGGATGTGGAAGTTGTATGGTTCTACCCTTAAAATGGCAGCCAAAATGGAAGGTTTCTTTTGGAGAATGCCTGGTTCCTTGTCAGAAGTAGTTAGACTACATTTAAGGAGACTGTCTTCAGTAGTTTGCTTCGCAGGTGTTTTTCACAGCTGAGATTCATTGTTACAGCTTGTGGGGCCTGCGAATCTAAACTCCTTTATATATTCACTGTGTACGATTATATGTCCATAACCTGGAGATTGCATTTCCTTGCCTGGGTGGTGGTGTGGCTGGGTCCCAGATGCGTGGGAGAGGGAACTCGGAAATGCTCCCGGTGTCCTAGCCCTGCATTGCTGTGAGATCTGTTTGGTTTTGGTCGCAGTCCCTGGGCTGTGTGTGCAAAATGGCTCCTTGGCAGTACCTCATCTGAGAAACATTTCAGTGAAAATGCAAATGTTCCAGTGGGTTTTCCATCCGTTTTCATAGGAATCACTTTACAGAGATTTTTGCCTTTCAGAAAGAGCCTTTTTTCTCGTTACCTTTTTTAATGTCACTCTGTTATCCTAGTTTGACACCTTTCAGGAACTCCAAGAAGGCTTCTGAGCATCACTCAAAATAGCTTCCTTTTGTCCCTGATTTTATTTCAGTGCTACCAATCCGTAGAAATCTGACCTATTATGAGTTGTCATTTACTTGTCTGATAGATACAGCTCAAGACTGAATATCAGAATATGTGGGATCTCTTTCTCTGTGTGTCACGGAGTTCACATATATACCTCTCAGCCCACCACTTTATTTCTGAGTGCCTTATTTACTTTATCTGTGAAAATGGGAGTCAAATCTAATGTCAAAAAATAACCGATAGTATTTAGACAAACTCCTTGAGATCCTCATACTGAAGATAAAATATTAAGTAGATAAGGCCTTAAGCTATTCATAATCAGATTGCAGTCACAAGGGCACGGTCCTCCAGGATGTTAATTGCCTTCCATCGCTGGGGATGCTCCATCTCTTTGGAATTTCAGAGCTTCACAGTCCCTTGTGTGGAGTTCTTCTGCAGTGCACATCACTGGGCTTGAGGATATTGGTGGGATTCCCACTGTAAAGATGGGCCCTGTGGGTCAAAGCTTGGGAATGGGAGACAGTGAAGACGAGAAGTCATGGGCATGTTCTCTGGATTGCCTGGTGGATAGGGAGCACACAAATATGTGCATTTTAGTTTAGTGAAGGGTAAATTTCAATGTGTATGAATAAAGAAGGTGGACCAGGAACCAGAAGAGTTGTTGTCCAACCCTATAGTAGTCCTATGGAAAAGACTACTGAAAACTGCATAGACTCAAATACCATCAGTCTCAGGCATTTACTCTCAAGTTCCTAGTTGGGTGAAAGCTCAGAATTCCTATGGAAAAGACTACTGAAAACTGCGTAGACTCAAATACCATCAGTCTCAGGCTTTGTACTCTCAAGGCATTTGTTCCTAGTTGGGTGAAAGCTCAGAACCATAGATGTAGGTTTCTGTGTGTGTGTGTGTTTATCCTCACCCAGGCTTTGTTACTCCTCCGTTAGCTGACTCGTGCATCCAGCGTGTTTACGTGGCCTCCTGAGCAGCCCACGCTTCTGGCAGCTAGAGAGAGGGGCAGAAAAAACACGTTGCTGGTTCCAGCCCGGGCTGGAACCACAGAACAGTCCTGCAGCACCAGTCAGTTACTTGCCCTGTGCCTTATGTTCACAGCAAGCACTGCAGTATGATACTACCTCCCTCACATCTAGGAACTGTGAAAGTCCCTTTCTTACAGCAGATGCAAAGACTCCTGAAAGCAACTCCAGAGTCCTTCCTCAGGCATGTCTTCAGCATTTCATGGTCTAACTTCTACTGACTTCCAATAAGGTTTACATAAGAATTTTGTTATATTTAGGTAGCAGGTGGTATGTGCAGAGATACTGTCTCACTTCCATGGTTTAAGCACCCGAGATGCCCAAATATTGTTACGAATTCAGATCTAAATGGGACAGAGAAGTTCCTGAGTGTCTTAAGAGCATCTCAGTCTCAAAGATCCTTTATTTGGAGACCTAGATATATAGAATGTGCAGAACATTTGGAGACATCTGAGCGATTGAAGCAAAAGGAATCAGAGTGGAAAATGTTCCACGACACTGAGATGCAGCAGCAGGAACTAGGTATTGTTCTCATGCTGCACTTCAAAAATGAGGCATGTTCTAGAAGTGCAAACCATTGCTGTTATCATAGCTACCGCTGTCTGAAGAACTGTGTAAATCCTGGGAAAGGTCCATTTCAGCATAAGGAACTGGAGACCTTGCAGCTCTCTCCAATGGCCCGGAGCAAAACCTCCCTCCTGGAATCAGAGTGGATGTCCTGGCCCTGCCGCAGGAGGGTGTCAAAGCCTCTCAACAGCCAGTTTTACTGTTGCCAGCAGTATTAATTAGGAAAACGCCAAAGCAAACTTCAATAAGGCTGAGTTTTAGTCAGGTGTGATGTTAATGCAGGCTGAGTAGTTTGGAATTTTTTATGTGCAGCCAGTGACCCGAAGTAAATCTCTTGTATAATACCAGTCTCCCCCAGCACCACCCGCCAAGCCTTTAGGCCTGAATTCTGCTCTTAATATGCTCAAAGGCACAAAGAGAGACCCTGGAGGTCTGCTGCTACAGACGGCATCAGCGATATTTGTTCTTTTGGGGGAATATCTGGGAAAACGAGCTCTGCAGATACCCTAGTTATCCCTTGCTGGGCCTTGAGCCCAGGCCTGCTTGGGCAGGGACGCTTCTGTTCGCATCTTCTCTCCGTACTCCCCAAAGGCAACTGTGTCCCCAGTCTCTGAAACCTATAAAATGGCTCAGTCAAGCAGAGTGCGTAAGTGCAAAACCTTTGGGAAAGCTTGACCCAATTTAGATGCACGAGGCAAAGTAGGAGGGGAGGGAGAAGACCTGGTAGTCCAAAATGAAGCCTGAGTTGCCGCTATGACTGAAAAGGGGAGAATGCTATTGTGATCTGTTAAATTGGAAGTGAGCTGAGGGGTGATGGGCCTGAAGAAGCAAAAACGTGTGCATTTCATTTAATTTGTGATACCACTTTAGAATTTATTTTTATTTTTTTGCATAGAAATTACCCCATGGTAATGGCAGAAAGAGGCACTTTAACGCCTGATTTGTTGGCACCTGTTCTCCACCAGTTCTCAGTTTTTCCAGATAAATTCAGTGCAGATGGAAGTCTCCCAAATTCATGCCAAGGGTATGTCACTTTTTAGCCAAAAGTCTGTTGCTGGGCCAAAATATTGCACATATGCGTGTCATGATGCTCACTGAGGCTCACGGGGGCTGGAGAAGACCAGCACCTCTGGAAAGCCAATGTCCTTTAGCCCTTCTCCTGCTGGGAGGTAAGTGCCCAAATACCCCCTTCTTCCATTAACTCCAATAAAACTTGGGAACAAGCACCATCCTACAAACTGCAGCTCATATAGCTCACCAGCATTCCTGAAAAGGGATTTTTGACAGCGTGGTAGGAGAACAGAAGTATAGCAGATGCCCAGACGCAACTGAACTAGAAATATTATTGATTAATTTTAAACAGAGAAGGAGGGATTTAATGAATCCCATTCCCACAACCATGGGTTAAAAAGCCATAAACAGACTTTGCCAGCTCTTAACTTTATCGTCGGTGATTTAGCAGTCTGTTGTTTTCTCACTTAACCAGATTTTAATTAAATATGACTTTTGTTCTGCTTATTGGAAGAGCCTTTCCCTTTGGATTTGGCCATCACAAAAGCTTGAGGAGTGCAAGGGAGCTGGAAAGCAAATAGGAGGATCAATCACAGCAGACCTCTGCCATCCGTGTCCCTCTCTTTTTTTGTAATATACTTATTAGATTCGTATTGTCAGAAAGGATTAGTGTTATGAGCTCCAGGAATTCCTTTCATTGCCCCGTGAGGCGAGGTAGTGAAGTGTGGCTGCTTTTCTTACCAATAACGTTTTGGATTTCCCCCCATCTCTCCCTTCTCTCCACCCATCTCCCCTCCTCTCTTTTCTTCTCCTCTCCCACAGAGATTTGTGCAGCCGACTGCGGAGGACACGGCGTTTGTGTGGGAGGCACCTGCCGCTGCGAGGAGGGATGGATGGGCACGGCCTGTGATCAGCGAGCGTGTCACCCGCGCTGCAACGAGCACGGGACGTGCCGGGATGGCAAGTGTGAATGCAGCCCAGGGTGGAACGGAGAGCACTGCAGTATTGGTAGGGAGAAAAAAAAAAAAAAAAGACTACTTTTAAAAGAATAATTGATGGTCAGGGAGGAGAAAAGGCGCATGCTTAATTGAATATGTGTGACTTAGTGTAGCATGAGCACCTTTGTTCTTGGATTTCAAGTTCTGACATCATACATTTTCATGTGGGAACAAGACAAAATGTCCTTTCATTTGGTGATGACGTGGCTATATATATATTTTTATTACAAGATGTGAGGTACACCTATGTGTGTGTTTTATCTCATAAGGACAAGCTGCCCAACAGCAGCTAGATACTTTGAAAAACATTCCACTTTCCCTCTCCCCAAAGGTCTTGCTAAGGCCTTCAAGTCCTCCTTTTACTGCACCAACAGCTTTTCCAGAAACACGCATCTGATTTTAAAGTTTTCTTCCACTTAATTTGCTCCATTATTTGCACTGCCTCTTTGCTTGCTAGTAAAAGGAAACTTCAGTTTTAGAAAACTTCTGGCTGACATTTGACTCTATCTTGTTTATCCCTTGCCTGCTCTTTTGCCTTTCTAAGATGTTCATTTTTCTCTCCTTGGTTCTGTATTACTCATGCACCTGGCACTTACCTTGGACTCCTGGTGTCATTTCTATTATTATTATTATTATTAAGATGCCAACGATATGCTGAATTTATGCAAAGAGGTGCAAAACCCATTTTAAGAAAGTTGCAGTCTTATTAATGACCTGGCTTGGGTTTACCTTTCTTTTTCATCTCACTTAACTCCATCGAATACTTTGACTTCCTCTTTTTTTTTTTTTCTTCTAACAACTGCCCTGTATTCCAATGCTTTAATTCCTGTTCTATGATCATTCTGTAAAACCAGCAGCATTAATAACCTCCAGATACCACTTATGCATTAACAGGAAGCTAAATTAGTGGATCTGGTTCTGCTCTAAGGAATGCCTGTGTAGACCTGAAAAAAAATCAGTTGACTTGAGAAGAGTCAGTCTGGAGTGAGAACTCTCCTCCAGGCATTTTGTTTTAATCAGCTTCTTTCAAAAGAGACAAAAATGTACCTCTGCATTGCTCTCATTGTGCAGTAATACATACAAATCACACTGTGTCAAAATTAGGTGCTAATAATACCTGAGTAGAGGTCTACATGTTTATTGCTGTGAATTATCAACTCGGTTAAACATGTAGACATCCACTTTTTTTATCTGAGCTCCAGGTAGGTTTGTACACACAAAGACATGCAGGAAATGAAGCCTGATCACAATATTTTAATTCCAACATTAGGGTAATGGCACAAACCATATCTGTGGCTCAATTCTACTTATCATTTATTTATGCTAATGTCACCCTACCACATTATGGTCTCCCCATGCATCCCTTAATGAAAAATATCTAGCTCTAAATACTTCCTGTCTCATTAGACATTGCATTCTGCTTTCTCTTCTCTTTTCCTAGCAGCTTTCATTTCTTTTCATGAACAAGGGCTAAAAAAAACCCTCTCTTAAATTACATTACAATGAAATGAGAACAGTCCTGTGTTAATTGGAATGCTGTGTTTTTGTAATATTATTTTATAGCCTCATATTCAAGCACTTTGGTTTGAAAAGCAACACAGATTCATAGAAGAGTTTTAAGAAGAAAAAATATTAAGCAAAAGGCTTAATCAAGGGGACAAATTTACGTAAAAGTCATTTATGTTCACAAGAGCCTAGTTCGAACCTTCAGTGCCATTTTATTACTTCTGATGCAAAACAAAAATGCTACTAGTTCAGCATATGATATTTGAACACATAGCTGATATGCCCTACTTGTTTCTGAACAGCAAACTTTTGTCTTTCCTTATAATTAAAGTTAGCCTGTTACCTGTGGTATTCCTCACTTAAGTATAGTGAATCCATGCCAACGTGGGGAAGGCAGGCACTGCAATGCAGTCAGCATCAGGATTTTAATGGTGCACACCATCATTTTGTAGGGTACTGCCTTCCTATTGCAATACTGTAATGGTTCAGGAATAATTCTTTAATACTTAGAGTGCTGGAGCAATTCTGTTTCTTTTCACTTCCCCCTCCTCATCTTCTTGCATGATGACTGAGCAACAAATTTGCACATAGTCCCATGCCTCTGAAGCTGCAAACCATATTTCCTGCAGAATATTTCATTGATAAATGTGTAGAATGTAAAAGAGATTTGGCAAAGTCATAAATATCCCAGAAAATTGAATAGCTTGAGAAGGAGTAATAAGCTAGTAATATTGGCACAGATGAAAGGACATTGACTTGGAATTACATTTAAGTATGTGGAAAGCATTCCCCTTGTCCTTGTGTAATTTCCCTGCATGGCAGCTTGTTCTGTTGACAGTAATTCCTTATATGTCTGTGTCATGGCCTGGTTTGCTTTAGCACTGACAAGCATACAACCCCATTGCTTAAGTGATGCTTTAACAATATTGCCGTGTGTGCAGGTAACATGGGTAGCAATGGATGATACAAGTAAAGGGCACTTCCATTTCCTGTTGAGCATGTCTGAGAGTAAGAAATCCTATTGTTTTTTAGGTCATGGGAGGCTCTTTCTTGCGATGTACAAAGGAACTCTGATCCCTGTGGATTAATTTTGTTTGCTCATACAAAGAGTTACATTACCAAGTATACTAGCTTGATTGCTCATATTCAGAGATTTCATTAGAGGAACCTCCGTTAATTCCCAACCAGGAAATTGATGCAGACGCTTGCATTCATCATCCTAATTCAGCAGACTCAGTGCATCCAGGCAAGAGAGTAGAACAGAAAGTTGATTATATAACTGCAGGAATCCTGAAACCCAGCAGAATGGTTCAGTCTATTTGCTCTAGTTTCCTAAAGGAAAAACAAAACAAAACTCCCACACATACATAAAAATGACTACAGCCACAATGCAGGTTTATATGATGGGTTCTATAGTGTATTCCAAACTTGGCCCCAATTAGAAAATTTGCAAGAATTGAGCTTTCTTCTTTTATGGCCCAAAACACACTCACAATATCCAGGGAACACAGTGAGTTTGAAGGTGAAATCAGCCCTCTCAGTGCGGGCTCTGAAAGGCCAAATTACAACTCAGCTCTGTTGTAGGCCACTGTATGGGGTTGATTGACAGATGGCACCACAGAAGATGTCCTGGGTGTAACGAATGACTCCAGAAACAGCACAGGGCTCTCGCAGCACAGCCTCACATTTCCTATAGCTCACAGTATGGTCCAGACAGCGTCCCAGGTGCCTCCTGCCTCCAGGATGTGAATGGAAACTTCACTCCACCTAATGGGCCTTGCAAAAAATTTTATCAGATATATGAATCTCTATATATGGTATTTTACTAGCAAACGAATCTCGATGCTTTGGTTCAAATTGGGGTTGTTTAGAAATAGTGGCAGAAAGGGATTTCCTGCATTCATACTTGCAGTGATGCCAGAGATATTTATCATCCTTCAATGGCCAGGACATAAACCTAGAGGTATCACTTGAAGTTTGGTTGCTGCACCTGAATGCTACAGGGTCTCTTCGGCTGCTGCTTAGCTCTCCAAACACACAAGCATTTACCTAGCAGGATTTTCAGAGCACCTCAGTGCCTAATTCCCATTGATCTTTATAAGAGTTACGTGCTTAACTCCTTTAAAAAACCTGGTCCTGGTATGCACGATGATGTGTGCGGTAACCAGTGTCTAGACAGACAGGCAGACAGGCCTTCCCACGTGGGCTCCTGCTTATGGCACAATCAAGCCGTTCTTTGTTTTACTTAGCAAAACTCTGATTTGGGAGAAATCTACCCTTTAGGTTTGGCTTTCATCAGCGTTCTTGCATAAATAATCACACGTGTTCTGGGTTGCAATCAGGGCCTCTCGCTTTCTGCTCGAGCAGCTGGAATCCAAACAAGGCACGTTGCAGAGGGGCTGTCTTCTCGTTTCCCAGGCTCTCGAACCCATCGCTCGGGTCGTTTCGCTTCCCTAAGCAGCTCGGTCCACCTGCATAAAATAAGGAACCTTCTACGCACCGGTGTGCGGTGAAGGTTCTCACCACCCCCAGCCCAACACACTCGTTATTCAGCTCACCGTAATGCTCGGACGTTTCCACTGCAGACTCTAAGCTGTTCTTGATCCATTGCTATCCACCTCACCCAAGTGGGATTGGTACCTTTTGGCCACACGGGGCCATGGTTGCAGCATGCAGTGGAAAACGTGCACTTTCTGCTTCGTTCCAGCAAGATTTTGCATCAGATTGAAGATAATCTGGCCATATGTAGTTGATGCCATATTTGACAGTAAATATTAGGCACAGATGAACTTCAAATGCAAACAATCTTTTTTTTTCTTTTTTTCCTGTCTCTGGAGAACAACTCCTTGTGCCTTCAGTAGTTCATCAACAACGGTTCAGCTACTTTCTCTGCTCCTTCAAACTTGGGATATTGCTGAGGTTGTGTGCACTTCATCCCACGAGGAAGATAAAGATGAAAAGGGTGCTTAGAAAATGAGAAACGAGAGTCTGCTGGGGAAAATGTCCTGCCCAGGAGCCTCTCCCCCACAGCCCTTACTGCTCTCTCCGCTCGGTCTCTCAGTGTGGGCCAAGCGAATTATTCATATAATCCCCCCAGTATGTTTAAGAGAAAACAAATTAACTTGGGCAATCGAAATAAGAGGATTTTTGGATGAAAAACATCTAGGAGATGCTCATACGAATTTCCTCAGGAGCACCTCTGAAGGGACATGGAGCTCAATGCATCTTTGGATACAGAAGAGGACACCTTCGTGAAGTATCTCTCTTTTTTTTTTTTTCAGAGCCCCTATGTAGCTCCGTAGCCTGCATATGCTCACAGATTTTCTGAAGGAGTGTCTCTAGATAATAAGATGATATTTTAATACTAGAACCATAATATGTGAACGAGAATTACACAGGTTTAGAGAAGAAAAATCTGTGCCGCCTTGGCCTACAGTCGTGTCCCTGTGTAGAACGTTTCCATAAGAGAGCTGCATTATTTTTCAAATAACAAGGTACATATTTACCATTGACACATGGTTGACATTGGCCACTGTCTCCACTGTCATCAACTGCAAAGTGACTGCAGCCTGAGCTTGCAGTGGAATTTAAAACCATGCAAGTGGTATCCAAGCTCTGCTTCCTGCATCACTGCTACTACACGGAGGTGGTTAGTTGATCTCATTCACTAGCCTCATAACTGCCTCAAACTCTTGTAGCTCTGGTCCTGCCAGCCCTCTCAGCTTACCTACGATAGTGCTTCGATTCAAGCATTAGGCTCACGAGATAGATAGGGAAAAAAACACTCTTGCAAGGTCGGTGACCTCCCGGGTGGGCAGTCTACATGAACAAACCCGAAACAAAAAATCTCTTCATAAGGGTACAAGTACTGACAGGGAGATTGCAGGGAGCCTGCAAGCTTTACCCGAGCCACGGAAATAACATTTAATAAGATTTGCATGATAATGGAAATCGGAGCAAAGTGCTGGGTGTAAGAAGTGAAGGAGAGAGAAGCCAAGAGTCAGGGCCTCTTATTTAACCTAGATCAGCTAAGATCAGATCTTAGGAGGGAGAGTGCCGACTGCTGGCTGCACTGGCCTCTCCAAAGCAGGACTCCTGGGTCCCGCTTGCATCTTTGCCACCAACTTTCTGATTGACCCCAGAAAATCAAATAGAAGGTGGTTTTCCAAATTAATATTCCATGGGAATTGGGCACATGACTGCTCCTTCTACATCTCTAACCTTCCTCTCTTTGCTTTCGTCCTCCTTGGAATGAGTACATTAGCACTTATCTATCTGGTAGAGCTGCCACGAGGTTAATTTAATATTTGTGAAGCGGTTTGATCTTGGGCTAGAGGATGTTGTACAAATGCAATGTGTTACTGTTAATCAGATCCAGGGTAAAAGCCTCTCTCAGTCTGGTAAGGCCACAGGAGAACTGTGCATTTTTGTTGGGAAAAAAAATATAAGACAATCAGGTGAGGTGGAGCACTTTCAAATGACTCTGTTTTCCGTATTGAAAAGACAAGCACTTGGTAAAACAGAGGTAGATTGTAGCAAATGAGCAGAACCTTACAATAATCTGCCACATATATATATTTATACATATATATACATATATATATATCTAAACACATACCTAAATATATATATATAAAACTTTCCTGTTTCTCTTCCGGATCCTAATAAGCAAAGATAACTGAATGTTGAAACAGCCTTCTTGAGCTCTTTGACCAAGAAGGGCTGTGCTCCACCCTTCTTCCTTTTTTATCTCTCCTCATAATCAAAATTTTTCTTTTGGTATCACAGCAAACTCTCCTTTGCCTTTCTAGCACCGGCACAGTCTCGTAGTAAGCCGCAATGCACTTATTCAATCCTACCTTAAATGTCCTGTCTTTTATCTCCCAAGCTCACTATCTGGATAAGGTAGTGAAAGGTATGCTCTTCCTTCCTATTTTTTCCTATTGTCTTTGTGTTTTGTTTTGTTTTTTCTTTTAAAAAATGCACCGTGAACATGCTGTGTTGAGGTTGCATCTCTTCCTCATTGTCACCAAAGTGCTCCCTGATGTCTGGAAGGGTGAACTTTCCAGTCATTTCGCTAGGAAAGCCCTCTGTAAGTGCTGTGACCCTGTGTTCACATCGTATCCGTGTTCCTGCCCTTCCCTTTGACCCTGCCCTCCCGTCCAAACCACCTCTCATCCTCACCCCTCCTACCCAGGTAAGGGAAGTCAGAAGGAAAAAGTGCCTGTGAATACAGCAGGTGCCCCATGCAGTGATATGTTTTAATTAAATGTGTACAGTCCATTTTGTAACAAGCAGGTGAGTGTACTTTTTGTGTGAAGTCTCCATGTTTCGATCCATGGCTGCTAAGTCTTACATGGGAACTTTGTGTGATATCTATATATATATATATGTAGAAGTGTTACAAGCTCAAAGGCAAAGCCTCTGGTTCTGTAAATCAGCGAATTCTATTGAAATTAGTGATGTTATGTTAACTGACAGTACAAAGAAATTTGACCTTATGTTCCTGTTTGTAAATGTAAAACAAGTCTAGAACGCAGATCTTTTCCTGAGAAGAAATGGAATTGAAGTGTTATGGATTAGAGTTAATCTGATATCTTAAAACATTCACAGTTGTTTCTTAACCAGAGCTGTATGCTAAATTAGTTTCTGATTTTTAAGCAGAAACATCGGTGACAGTTTCTGAATGCATATTACTTTTATAAAAATATTGAAATAGTACACATCTCCTAGATAAATACAGTGATCAGACAATGAATATGATTGAGTTGGACACGAATATTCTTCTACATGGCTGATTTGACATTAGCAATAACACAGTGCTGAATCGACACAGCGTCATGTATTTGCCAGTTAAACAAACCAAAAAAAAAGTCAGAATAAATCTGTTTTTTTCCATACAATTTACCCTCCCTTTTCAGGTTGTGAGCAATCTGAAACAGCAGCCGTGATAATTTCATGAAGAAGGGCAGATATGCCAAAATATTTGGTTGCTGAATGGTTAAATTGAAGTCTCTAGAGCTCTTAGGGTTTGATGAGAAACTTGATTGTCCTGACTTGACTTCTCTAAATGAGCTTATACTCTAACATCTCTCCTGTTTCCATTGATGCTCATAGCCAGGTTGAGATGCAATTGCAAATAGAAAAGAAAATGAATAAGTAAGTATGAATAATAATGAAATGTCCACAATGTAAATAAGGAAACTTTGGAGAGTAATGCAGCAGTAAGTAGCATGTCTCCTTGAACCCCTGCTTATGGACTGACTGTTCAGTGATAGTTAGCTTTCTCTCATTGTTTAGTTAGTAAAACATCCTTTTCTGTATTGAAATTAGGAAGAAAAAATATATCCTTCTTCTTAGGATATCCTTCTTCCCTTAGATCAAGGAAAAAGGACCACTTTTCATATCCTTATGGAGTCACAGTGGTGGCATTCTTAAAACAACTTGCAGGTCACCATTAGGGAATGCAACCAGAACCTTCTCTTAATGTTCCACATCTCAGTGTTCTGAATTTCAAAAATCCAGGGCTTTCTCCTTTCATTTCAATGTGCATTGGAGAAGGTTGGATCAAAGGGGATCAGATAAGAACCAAGAGCATAGAGGAGATGACAGATCAGCCTGTATAGCTTATGTCCAAGGACATGCAATAGTGATTAGCCTATTCAGTGGCCCATTTTTTTTTTCGTAACCCTTCTTTAGCTATCACTTGTTCTCTGGATAGCCTTTTGACTCACCTTAATACCCAAGAATAAAGGGATGTTATATTTAATGAGTATAGCAAAGTGTAACAAGTTATTCCTAGCAACATGCTAAGAATAAACTATTGCTCAGTGCTTGGCCTCTTTTGGGAAGATTAGCAATATCTGAAATATTAATAGTACATGTTTTTTACTTGACTAAACTGCATAGCATGCGTTTTTTCAGAACTAAATTACTCATGCCATTTTGGCCTTCTTAATTATTAACGTCTTTCTGGTTGAAATCCCTTCCTAGTAATCCTGTCACCCCTTGTCAGGGGAGAGCCTGATTTACTGCCGAGTCTTTCCCACAACTTTACAATAAGCCAGTAAGACAGACAAGATGTAGAATTGTTTCTAAGTTGGAGGGCAAGTTTTAAGAGTAAACTTCAGGATGATTAAACCAAAAAGATCCAACTAGAATTGGAAGGGAGTCTTCAAGGCTAAGTCCTACTTAACAGTGCTAACGCTTAAAATAAAGAGAGATTCACATTATTAAAAAATGTGCTGATTTTAAAGAGAGCTCCCCTGTTTGGATTCCTTTGGAATTGACGATATGTCAGCATAATTAATTTCTATTGTTGGTTATCAAGTCTCACACTAAAGTGAATAAATAAATAAAAACACATTAACTCTTCAGTGAGATATATAAGTTGCTAGTCTGAAATGGAAAGATGCTAAACCATCCATTTGAATACCACGGGAAATGCAGGGTGACTTCATTGCCCACTCCTGAAGTCTGAGGAGCGGTGAGAACCCAAGGTCTAACTGCAGCCAATTCTCTTATTTGTATATCTACAAGAAATGGGAGCTCTGGTGAGAGACTTTTCAATCTTCATCCTTCAGGGACCATTTGATTAGATATTTCTTCATTCCCATTGTCACAAAATATCATGGTAGTAGTTGAAGGACTGAGTATTTTTCAGAACACTCCACCATGCTCTCAAAGCCTGCAGGAGTCAGATAATGCTTTTTGGTCATTCCCTTTTGTCCTACAGAATTTCTACAAGTCACTTAATGATTATCGTTCTTTTAAGCTGCAAGTGTTTGCATCATCCCATGTTCTACTTATTTCAAACCTATCAGGACTTGTGAGGACAACCACCAGGAAAGACAAGAGAAAGAAACATATTTGTTCTCTGTGGTACTTTGCCATCAGACCTAAGAAAGCCTTACCCTTTAAGTCCAATTTCAAGTGGCAATGAGGCTTAGCTTGAAGAAAATTCCCACTGAATATTGTTTATAATTGGGCTAATTAGAGAAGGCTTTACATGTGCAGATCATTAAGAGCAGATTATTTTACCACCAATCTTAAAATGGTAAGATAATTTCTTACTCTGGAGAAGTTCTTCTTTGATGCTGATATTCTTCTTTAGTTTAGTCAAAATTAGTCATTTTTATAGTGATTTCCTGGTCTGTATTGACCAGGCATGGCAGGCCTGACATTTTCCTGAATGTGTTGCTGTGTCATCATTCTTCAGGAAGACTTTCATGTGCTTTAGTTAGAAAATTGCATCAAGGTTTGTTTTGTTTTTCTCCCTCAAAAAGCTCTACTCATGTATTTAATTCTTTGAATCACCAAAATACAATTAACAAACACAAACAGGAATAATGGGTCATAGTGACTCTAGCTACAGAACATCAGAGATGGAAGAATATGATGGTGTAAATCTGTGAAGATTAAGCCATCCTGCTGTGCTGATATTCAGAAGCACTCCAAAAAATGGATGATCTTTTTGCTTTATTCCCCAGGATGGGAAAGGAGAGGATGAAGTTAATTTGTACCATCTTTTTGTCAAGTGCTTTCTAGTGCTCCATTTGTGGAGTGTGGAATAGTATGTGTCCCTATCTCTATACGGTTAATGATGGTCGAGTCTTTACTCAGTGAACCAGCTCATAGGTTTATTTTGCCAGATATGTTGGCCTATCTATTTGCATTCTCTTCTAACATTCTGGAGCTATGCATCCTCTAACAGCTGCTGTTTAATTATTTTGCTTTCTGTTAATGATTTCCTTCCTCATTACTTCTGCACACTGTCTTCTTTTGGCAAAGGAGAGGTATAATTTTCTTCTCACAGCATCAACACTTTGTTGTACCTTGTAATGCAATGGTCAATATCCAAAAACTTGTATGTTCGTGAATCTGTGAAGATGTTATCTTGTTAGGACACAGTTCTACGTGACTTCCTGAAAGAGATTTATTTCTTTAGGAAACAGAGATGGCTGTCTATGGTGAGATTAGGTAAACTTGCTTTCTTCACTTGAAAGATGCCAAAACAACGGATTATGATGTTTGTGATGGGAGTCATCCCACTTCAGGTTATCTACAGTGTAGATGTTTATATTTGAACTTGTCACCCTGGATCTTCTTAATAGTCAAGGAAGAGCAGTAGGCACTTCCAGGATAAAATTTTATGAAATATTCTTTTCTTTCTTTTCTGTCCTTCTGGATGGTGCTTCTCCTGTATCCGTCTACCTACTGAGATGCTTGACTTGGTTTCTCTGGGTCCAGGTAAAGATGATTTGGAGGCAATTATGAAAGTCCGTTAGGATAGACTAAAATACATTTTATATAGACAACAAATTTCACCCAAAATTCAAGGACATAGGAATGAAATGGATTTCCTTGGTTAGAGTCTGGTTAGAGTCTCTGCTTTCAAGGGAACCACACTGTTTAGTATCTTATATGAGTTGGCCAATCTCTCTGAGAAGAACAGTGAGGCTGCTTCTCCTTAATACTCATACTGGAAGCTATTCCAAAACTTTATTCCTTTGATCCTGAGATATTTTTTCTTTCCAGTTTCCAGACAGAATTTATTTATGGTTAGCTTATGTCCATTTGTTCTCATGGCAGGATTATTCTCTTAAGCTTAAATAACTGTTTTACCTTCTCACTGTTTGTCTGCTTCGTGAATGTGTGGAAAACAATCATAGCCTTTTCAGCCTTTTCTGTACCTGAGTGGGCAAATTAAGCCCTTACCAATTTCTTACATAAAGAAGATGTCCCCTTCCTGATTATGTCAGTCAGTTTCTGTCACTCCAGGTTCCACCCTTCCTAAGCTTGGGAGAATAGATCATATACAATACTTCATAAGCTCATTTGTACAGTTATATTATTTTTCCTTATATATGATGAACACTCCTCACATGAATTATTTGAAGATCACTTTCATTTTTTTTCAGTTTTACAGCCAATGATCAAACAGTACAATATCTTTTCTCTTTCAGAATGTTAGAACTTTGCTTTTGAGATCCTCATTCAAAAGTTAAGAAATGAACAATATAATTTTAAGGGAAAAAAAATTTAATTACTCTTTTTCCTCTGAATTTCCATCATGTGAAATGCTGTAGCCCTAACTTAAATGATTTCCAGGGTTTGGATCTGTTCCTACATGACTTGGAACTTTGTCCTTAGCTCCCAGAAAAAGCTTCAAAAATCCAACGTTGAAAGTATCAGTCTCTTTTTAGTTTCCTTCCATTTGCAGAAGAGAAAAGTCTGATTACTGGTATTGAACACTAGCTTCTGGGTTAAACATACAGTATTATCCAAATCTTCTTTGACTCCTATGCTTCTACCATGTTCTCATCAACTTCTTCAACCAAGCTCCTTTTGACTCCCACTGAACTCCTGACCAGGTCAACATGACTCCACCTTCCTGGCAAGGATTTTCCTGCTCTGCCTTTGAAACTACAGGATAGAACAAATTATTTTAGGATGAGAGACAGAGCTCAACGGATGTACTAGAGCAATGAAAACATGAAATGTGCTCATGGATGACAGAACAGCATCGTGGAACTGAGGCACCAGCTAAACTCTAATAAATCCATGCAGAATATGCACACAGTGAGGTTTCTTGAGAGGCTTTTCATCTAGGCAAATTTAGGGAGATTTATGAAGATGAGATAAAAACATCCCTGGTGTCAGGGTTGTCCCACCAAAACAGAATCTATCATCTGCTCTGAAGTGTAGGTTTACCTAAGTTATTTACTGCTTTATTTTAACAACTAATACATATCCTCTCTCAATCTCCACAACAGCTGAACACTTTTAGCTAATTCTGAAATTAAATAGAGGAAACAAAAAAATAAATTAGCCTCAGCATGGAAAAAAAAAAAAGAAAAAGCTTAAATGGTTAGAAATTTGGCACCGTTGTAAGTAATTGAAGGCAGGATATTAAAATGGGAAATTTCAAGTAGCCCTACGTATAAATAGTACCGGCAGTTCTTTCCACGGTATATAAATACTAATATAAATTTTAAGTACCAAAATATGTTTACCACAGACAGACTACACATTTTAAAGGACTGAAATACTATAACCATGTTTGTAAATGTAAAAGAATATTTAAGATCTTTTTAAAGGATTTTTCCATACCACTATTGTTCCTTATTCCATCTCATTCCTCTAAATATGTAGGAAAACAATTGTAGAAGAAATGTTAAATTCACGATGAAATGTTTATTAGTTAAAAGGCATTTCTGAACCACATTTGCCTAGCACAGGATACATGATGGTGTCATGTCCTACGCCTGCTGTCTCCCCACTCTTTGCGATGGCTCTTGTGAGTAATGAGTCAATCGCAGGTTGCAATAGCACCCACCTTGCAGCACTCTTTACCACTATGTTGTGACTCTTCAAGTCACAATAAACCCGTGGTGTTTGTGCAATTTCATAAACAAACTTGTCGTGCAAAGCCAAGGCTCTTGACAAACTCATATCACACAACAAAGTTTCATGACACACATATAAGCAGAGAGGGCCTCCAGACAGGGATTGAGAAATCAGAATTAAATTTCTGGTTTAACCAATCCTGATGAATGGCCTTGAAAATAATTTTACTGCCTTGTTTCCTAATCTGTAAAATATGGCTGACGTTTCTGACCGCTTCTCTGTAAAGATTTCCAAGCAGTGTAGGTAAAAAGTCCCCTAGACTGTATAAATTAAGCAGCCTTCTTCACCCTCCTACTTACTGTGGAAATTACTCTGCTATTTTGTTTAAAAAAAAAAAAAAAGTGAGATGGGAAACTTAGCAGGGGGTCATCAGATAAGAAAATCAAATACTGGTGAGCGGACAGGAAGGATGGGATTATGGGATTCATCTCTGCTTGTTTTAATCACTTATAATAGAAGTGTTTGCCTCTGTGCTAGTCACCCTGGAATCCTTTTCTAGTCAGTGGAGAGAAACGGGCACTTTCAGAGCATGCTTCAGCTCATCAATACAAGCATTAAAATACACAAGGGGACTCGTGCCGTGGGAACGTCTGTTTGCCTCTCTGCTGACTAAAGGGAGAGTTGAAACATCTCCATCACCGGTGGTTGTAACCCGGCAAGATGAATCCCACCCAGACTGAAAAGCAGAGAAATCAAGTGTTCTCCAAACATTTTCTAGCACAGAGAATCCCGTCACTTTCCGGACAGCTTTGCCTGTATACCAGACTGAGATCATGGAAAACCAGCTGTTTTTCTCAGGCTGTTAGGACCTTTAACCCCATATGAAATGTAGGTAGCCCTAAATCCTCATCTTACAGAGCAAAGGATTCGATACAAACAACAGGACAGTCAAATCATCCTGCCTCCCCAAAGCTCACCCTTTCCTCACCCAACCGGTGAGACCATGCAGTGAGAACCTCCTGGGGAAGCTGGAAGCAGTAACCCATTGAAGGCCACCACCACCATTCTGATGTCCAACTGGGAGAGTTCACTCCAGATGGGGAGACAACAAGTGGGAGTGGAGAAATAAATTGAAAGCAAAAGGGAAAAGCTGTCTCGGTAGCCCCTTTCCAGGATATGTTGCTGGTCTTTGCAGCGCGTTATAACGCGTGGCTGTTTGCCTTGCAGAGGGATGCCCTGGCTTGTGCAACGGCAACGGCAGATGCACCCTGGACATGAACGGCTGGCACTGCGTCTGCCAGCTGGGCTGGCGAGGAGCAGGCTGCGACACCTCCATGGAGACGGCGTGCGGCGACGGGAAGGACAACGACGGAGGTAGGACACGGGCACATGTGGCACGTCAGGCTTCGCGGAGCCGCTGACGCTCGCGCAGCGAACAGTCAGCTGGGCTGGATTCCGCAAGGCAGATTTTGTGTTTGACAGCTGGTGGAGAGCAGGCAGCAGAGTCTGCCAGGCTGACTCAGCCAGAGAGGATGTGAATTCAGATGAAATGGATTTGGAGCTGGGTGCCAGGGCTGAGGAGTGAGGTTGACTTGTCCTCGGATCAAGTCCATATACCAGAGAGCAGGCAGTGGCCACGCGCTCGTGCTGTCACCCCATCTGAGCGTGTGGCTCAGCCGTGACACGGCAGGGCCACCTCAGGTAGCAAAGGGCCCTGACTCTTCTAGCTTTGACTGAGTTTCTCATCAAGGCTTTCTGGTAGGCCACTACTGACTTGGGATGGCTGCTTCAAAGTAACCTTGTGGCTGGTCCCTGTGCCCACATGCCATCCAATCCTTCTCAGACCATGTTTTATTGATTACAGTTCCGTATGTAATGATGTCAGGCATGTGAATAATAGCCCTGCATAATGCAAACTTAATATTCAGAGTTATCTCATTACAAAGGAAAGCCTGGTGCAGTGTGAAGGTTTGAATTAGAGGGCAGGAGATGAGATATTAAATTTAAGGCATAAGGGAGGCTGCATAATTTGTTTTGTTCTCACTCGGCAAAAGGCTTTGTAAACCACAAGTCTGGGCCAGGACACAGACTGTGAAATGGAGACTACATTTTGCAAGCCTCTGTTTTACCCTGGTAGCAAGAACAGTGCAATCAAAAAAAAAAAAAAAAGCCAAGCCAAGAGCATGATTATCTGCTTCACAGCAACTGGGATTCTGATTGAATATTTAAAATACTTCTGCACATCTGGCATGGTAAATGGACCAAATTATGCCTTTAGAAAAGATGGAAAAAATTGGAGAACCGTACAAAGAGGACATGCTGTAAAACAAAGGTCGCTTTTTGCTTAACATGAAACTGTATATCACTGTATTCATCTTTTCTGCTTACAGCTGACACAAGGCAGCAATAAAGTTCACCACATCAGATGTGTAAAAATATGGTAAATAGAGCCAAGGATAAAACCAGTTTGCCTGGAAAAAAAAGGGAGAAAAAATACCCTGTCGTGTTATGAAAAAGAGACAGAAGTGGAAAAAAAAAAAGTTATTCTGCCTATCGTACAATAGAGACCACATCTGTATCACATCAAGAATAGCATGACCAGACTGTACAAATTTGGTGGACCAGCTCCTCATATCTTCTTGTTCAAAATGCTAATTGTATAACTGGGTTGCCCTCACCTTGAGACAAGCATTGTGTCGCCTTGTTAGCCTGCAGGACAGCAGATGTAGACAGGAGAGACAAAAGGCATTGACATGTTTACAAGTTAGTCCACATCAGCTGCTAACTTGCATTTGGAACTTCTTTGGAACAGTGGTGTACACGGCTAGAGCACAGCAACAGATAGATTGTAACATATTGGCTTGTGACAGCTTATTCAGATGTCAAAGCCTACAAATAAATGTTGTCTTTTCTGATGATAAAATGAAAAAGTCATATATGTGTTCACACCGTGCATTACAGTCTGCAGATAATCCATGTCAGCCATACATTATGCTGCTCTTTTGATTTTTCTGCTCTACTGCTAAGAACTCTTGTCATCTGGAAAGTGCAACAAGTACAAGTTGACCTCTTTGAGTTGTTTTTTCTTCTATAGATCGTTGTATGTTGTAGAAGTAGGTTGAAATTTAATTTGAATTGCAACCCCTGACATGAAGTGTCATCAGAGGTCTTGAGGTACTTTGGAGCCCAAGAGTCCTTGCTTAGCACAGGGATTGGAATGTGGTCACCTGAACTGTGAGGAAAATCTGATTCTAGGCTTGAGTCCTAGATGTTATGCTGGTCTCTGGAACTAGAAGCTGGAGCACCTAGATCTGAGCAAGTTTCCACTCTGATGTCTGACGGGTACCTGCAGAGTGTCATAGAGTAATTCAGCCTGGAAGAGACCTTCAGATGTCATCTAGTCCAAATCCTTGATCAAT